GGAAGGACCACGTTCTTCGCTGGTTGTATAACTTCATGTTGAACCATTTCAAGGTGGTATTATAGAGTTAAAGGAAGCACAGTTGACAAAGTATGATCCCTTAATTACATTAGTAAGGGAACGTTAGGATAATTATTTTTCTTTAATTATGAGTCCTAGTGTCAATGTAACCCTTACCTGTAAGGTCACGATTTTGCATCATGAAGGACCTTCCCATAGATCTGATCAATCCCCATGCTTTCTGAGATTTCGTAACAGGGTGACAAATCCAACAATGTCCAAAGAGACAAAAGTCCAGCTACCTTTTCTCGACCACATGACATCTCTGATGTGAAATCCGCTCGTAGGTATACAGATCAGTCTCACATTGCAACTCCAACTTATCTGATCCCTTTTGGTGTTCAAAAATGTAAAAAACAAAAAAAAAAATTGCCTCGTTTCAAAAACTTTCAGGACAAAGTTCAGTGAATTGCTAAGTTATGAATTTCGTTTGTGAAGGATCTCTTTGGGAACAAGAGGCAAAACACTGAACGAGGACAGGCGTTTTAACAGGAAGAGCCAGCAATTTACTATTCTTTGTCAGTTTTGTAAATATCAGCGGTGTATGCGGACTTGGATTTACACTGTACAGTTGTTTCTTGAAGACCTCACCTTAAGTTGTCCTTCGCCTCCATCTCTGAGCGTTAGTAATGGCAATGTATGAGCTGATGACTAACCCTTACAGAAATATCAACTTTAACATATGAAACAGACTAGAACAAGTAGCTCAAAGACTACAAAGAAAAAAAACAGAACAACAAAACCACACAATCGCCATCAGCTTGTCATGGACTACATTGTGACAATCAGTTTGTGTGCCGTGTATACGTCACCTGTCATCAATTGCCAAATATTTTTATACTTTCTTTTATTGTCTTAACAGCTGTACCAATTTGTTCTTCAATAACTTATGATGCAATAGTTGTAGCTGTGTTTTAGGGTATGATAATACAACAAATGAAATGAGGAAGTACGTCAGCTGAGAAGAGTGAACCAACAGCTACCCACTTTTGGCAAAAACTCATAATGAGAAGTAAAACTACATGGGAGCTTCAAATTGTGTAGGAAGCCCATCAACAAGGCCTAGTTGCTGATGTCAGTGTTATAGGAACCAAAGTCAACTGTAGTGATCACAGTGGCCATTTTGGTTCAGGAGTATGGCGCTTGGGGCATCCCTAGGAAACCTTAAAATATTTATATAAATATGTCAAAACTCACATGAAGTTTGCATTCAAATTTAAAGCCTGAATCGAGCCAAAATGTTTTTTTTTGTGTGGATATAGCAGGGATTAGACTTTGTCAGACTTTAAATGTGTCCTCCTTTGAGCAGATCTGTCTGCAAACTTTAATGGCGGTCTGTGTCTCAATTTCTTACATAGTCTGGCTGAAAAAAGACAAAAGTCCATCCAGTTGAACCATACAAAAAAAAAAAAAACCGTATAATCCTACACCCACAGATCCAGAGGCAGGCAAAAAAACCCAGCAAAGCATGATCCAATTTTCTGCTGCTGAGAAGAAAAAATTCCTTCCTGATCCCCTGAGAGGCAATTGGATATTCCCTGGATCAACTTTACCTATAAATGTTATATTCTGTGTATCCAAGAAAGAATCCAGGACTTTTGTAAAGCAATCCACTGAACTGGCCAGAACCAACTCTTGAGGGAGTCTATTCCACATTCTCACAGTTCTCACTGTGAAGAAACCTTTCAGTGTTTGGAGATTGTTTCTTTTCCTCCAGACGTAAAGAGTGCCCCCTTGTCTTCCGATTTGTCTTCTTTTCAGGTTCTGTCTGATACTTGTCCCTTAGCTAGGAAGTGGGTAATAGACATATGCACACCAGAAACATTCATTTCAGATGCGTTCATTGAAGAATTTTCATTTCATCATATTCAATCCATTCAATTTCAGAATTTGTTTTGTATCTTCAGCGTTTGTTTCACATATGGATTGCGTAGGGTGGATTTTGAAAATTTTGCAGTTTTTTCAGAAGATTGATATATATTTCAGGTGGATTCCATATTGAATGTTCGGGTGGCTTCCATGTTGAACGTTCGGGTGGCTTCCATGTTGAACGTTCGGGTGGCTTCCATGTTGAACGTTCGGGTGGCTTCCATGTTGAACGTTCGGGTGGCTTCCATGTTGAACGTTCGGGTGGCTTTCATGTTGAAATTATTCTGAAGGATTCGATATTTTCAGAACAGAATGAATAATGTAAAATTCAGCAACCCTTGAATTTTTCAAACCTACGAATTACATTAGACTGTGAACTAACTGACTGTACAATTACAAATATAATTTAAATCACAAATTTAATGGAATCCCAAAATTTTATTAATCTCCTCATGGGCCTCAACGATCGCATTGAATGAAACTAATGCATTCATTAATTTCATTATAACTTTTTTTTTTTTATTTGTTGACATTCATTACTATGTTCCATTTGGAGATTTGTATACATCCAAATCTCCCCAAAAATCTAATTTTCACCCAAGAATCGATTTGTTACAAAACAGAAAGCACATGTCTACGGGGAATAATGTCTCTCTTGGAGACACATGGGAGTTTTTGAAAGACGTTCCATATTCTTTTAGATTTGTTTTGATGCCTGTGACTCCGCTGGGGAATTCCCTCAATGTCTGAAAGGCATCAAATAGACAGGAAGTAGGGACATTTCCCTCCCCCTCACTTACCAGTTCTTTAACCTGTCAAAAGGAACCTGAGAAGAAATCTACCAAATGAGGATACAAAAAAAAAAAAAAAAAATGGTTGACAGGTTCTAACGTACAAAAAATGGCCACTGCCCCAGTCTATAACTGGCCTTCACAGCAAGGAGCTCATGGAAGGGCGACGCATGTCTTTTTTCTTTTTTGTTGTTGACAAGTTCTAACCCTTACCTGCTCCTTAGTCTAAAACTAAGAGCCAAAAGTTTTGGCATTAAATAAAGTTCAAACTTGTACTCATAATCTTGTTCCTGTCTGAATACCTAGCACCTACAACACCCAGCTGTGTATGGAGCAATTTGAGTAAATAGCTCCATGCACAACTGTGATTGGAGGTGCTTAGGTGTAGGTTTCATGAGAACCTTCAAAGTGCATCCAGTGGCCCTCAGAGTATCAATGAGCTCTGTCGTTTTGGTTCATCATAAAGGTATGATGTACCTAAATAAGAGCTCAGTGACACTTTGGAGACCATTGGATGCATCTCAAATCTTCCTATGTTCTCCACGAACACTTGTTGTGCTGGTGGACACTCAGCCCCCATTCACACTTGAGCATAGCGAGACGATTTAAGAGGTTTTTTTTTTGCATCCCAAAATTTTTTGAATGGCAGCCCCTGAAAAACACACGTAAACCTGCATTTTTCAAGTGCTTCCATTAAAGTCAATGGGGCCAAAAATGAGAGACTCTGCCTCAAAGTACTTTTTTGAGCAGTACGTGCCAAGTGACACAATACAACATGTGGACGGGCGAGTCTTCATCTTAAGCATTGTCACACTTCGGAAATAGCTCAGGTGTAAATCAGGGTTCAGACCAATTAAGATAGGCGTCCTTAAGAATAGGTGTATTCACAAAGGGGTAGCAGTCCCAGAAAAGCCCATGAGCACATTAAAACGGTCTATAAAATTGATCTTGAAGGTACTTATGAGTCCTCTTTGTGCTGGTACCTAACTTTTTGAGCTCCTGGCTCCTAAAAAGTGCCTGCTGGCTCCTAAGTTGAACTTGCTGATCCCATCAATGTGTCCATATCGGCCTTTGAGTGAGTTGTGACAAGACCACCCGAAGAACCTCTTCCAACAGGAAATCCCTTCCAAGTGACGTACTTCCTCATTTTCTATCTAATAATTAAGTTTTCTTGTCCTATATCCATTCTTTGTGGTAGTTGGTCCTCACCTATGTAGTTACTGTCCGTTTGCAATCTGTACCGTGGTGTAGTTTTTAGATGTTTGTAAAGAGCAGAAGTATGAAAAAAAAAAAATGTAAAATCTTTGTCTTGGATAACAATGCTCCATTTTGTCTATACAAAAGTGAATAGTTCTATGAGAGGTATTATTTTGTCCTGCTGATATGGTGCTGTGGAAGGTCTGTGTGAGACTCTGTGCTCCCTGGAAACTGGTAACCCTCCATTGTGCAATGAACCATTTCCAGATGTGAGCGAAAAAATATCAATAAATATATGTCCACCAATGAAAAGTGTTGTTGATCAATGTGTCAAAAGGCCTAGTGTAAAAAAACCCCAAAAAAACTAAAGAAAACGGAATGGTGGATGTGACCTACCCTACCAATCAGATGACGCTTTCACTTTTTTAAACCAGAAGAAAAAAAAAAAAAAAAAAAGGGGGCACATTAACCTAGTGCATTACCTCAAGCACCATTTATTAAGAAAAAAAAAAATGTATAAAAAAATGCTCACAAAAGATGCAAGTACATAGACATATAAGGAATGCTGTAGCAAGGCCTCCTGAACTTCAAGGACCTAGATCAGGGGACTCCAAACTGCTTTAAATAAAGGGCCAGTTTACTGAACTTCAGACTTTAGAGGGTCAAAACTGTGGTCAGTGGGAGTAAACAAATATGGGAATAGTGCCCTATCATTGGTGTCAGTGGGAGGAATAGTGCCCTATCATTGGTGTCAGTGGGAGGAATAGTGCCCCATCATTGGTGTCAGTGGGAGGAATAGTGCCCCATCATTGGTGTCAGTGGGAGGAATAGTGCCCCATCATTGGTGTCAGTGGGAGGAATAGTGCCCCATCATTGGTGTTAGTGGGAGGAACAGTGCCTCATGATTGATGTCAGTGGGAGGAACAGTGCCTCATGATGTCAGTGGGAGGAATAGTGCCCCATCATTGGTGTCAGTGGGAGGAATAGTGCCCCATCATTGGTGTCAGTGGGAGGACTAGTGTCCCATGATTAGTGTCAGTGGGAGGACTAGTGTCCCATGATTAGTGTCAGTGGGAGGAATAGTGCCCCATCATTGGTGTCAGTGGGAGGAATAGTGCCCCATCATTGGTGTCAGTGGGAGGAATAGTGCCCCATCATTGGTGTCAGTGGGAGGAAGAGTGCCCCATCATTGGTGTCAGTGGGAGGAAGAGTGCCCCATCATTGGTGTCAGTGGGAGGAAGAGTGCCCCATCATTGGTGTCAGTGGGAGGAAGAGTGCCCCATCATTGGTGTCAGTGGGAGGAAGAGTGCCCCATCATTGGTGTCAGTGGGAGGAAGAGTGCCCCATCATTGGTGTCAGTGGGAGGAAGAGTGCCCCATCATTGGTGTCAGTGGGAGGAAGAGTGCCCCATCATTGGTGTCAGTGGGAGGAAGAGTGCCCCATCATTGGTGTCAGTGGGAGGAAGAGTGCCCCATCATTGGTGTCAGTGGGAGGAAGAGTGCCCCATCATTGGTGTCAGTGGGAGGAAGAGTGCCCCATCATTGGTGTCAGTGGGAGGAAGAGTGCCCCATCATTGGTGTCAGTGGGAGGAAGAGTGCCCCATCATTGGTGTCAGTGGGAGGAAGAGTGCCCCATCATTGGTGTCAGTGAGAGGAAGAGTGCCCCATCATTGGTGTCAGTGGAAGGAATAGTGCCCCATCATTGGTGTCAGTGGAAGGAATAGTGCCCAATAATTGGTGTCAGTGGAAGGCATAGAGCCCCATCGTTGATGTCAGTTGGAAAAATAGTGCCCCATTGTTGGTGTCAGTTGGAATAATGCTCCATCATTAAGGTCAGTGAAAGAAATAACTTTCCATTCTTTAGATCAGTGGGAGAAATAGCACTTCATACCTATGGGAAGGCTGGATAAAGGCAAGCAAAGAGCCACTGTTTGGAGACCACTGACCGAGATAATTAATGTGGAAGACCGAACAACACAAAGCAAAAAGGCAAATGCGTTTTAAAATGATAGACCCTTTTCCTCCGAGCTCTAGGCTCATGCCCTCCTTTTTTTTTTTTTCCTTTTGGTTTAGGATCATACATTTCTCCTATCGGAAGAGGGCTGCAAAGTCGGGAGTGGACTCTGGACATTGCATGGATAAGACTGGCGAATGAGCCTCCTCACTTTGAAAATCTCTTACTTACACTGGAGCGCTGATTTTGAGCTTCTCTTGCACTTTTTTAGCCACATCTAGAACCTGTTTGAGCAATTTGAGTGAGCAACTTACTCTCCTTTTCTACTCCTACATAAGGTCTAGTACAGGGGTGTCAAACTGGTGACCCTCCAGCTGTTGTGGAATTACAAGTCCTAGGAGGCATTGCAAGGCTGACAGTTACAAGCATGACTCCCACAGGCAGAGGCATGATGGGACTCGTAGTTCCACAACAGCTGGAGGGCCACCAGTTTGACACCCCTGGTCTAGTGCATGCACTCAACTGTAAGACTGCCCATGCTTCTTTCGTCTAAGATGGCTATTGGATGCATTCATCCAATGCCCGTTATTGAAGCCATTTCGTCCAAGGTGGCTATTGGATGCCTTCATCCAATGCCCGTTACTGAAGCCATTTCGTCCAAGATGGCCGTTGGATGCCTTCATCCAATGCCCGTTACTGAAGCCATTTCGTCCAAGGTGGCCGTTGGATGCCTTCATCCAATGCCCGTTATTGATGCCTTCATCCAATGCCCGTTATTGATGCCATTTCGTCCAAGGTGGCTATTGGATGCCTTCATCCAATGCCCGTTACTGAAGCCATTTCGTCCAAGATGGCCGTTGGATGCCTTCATCCAATGCCCGTTACTGAAGCAATTTTGTCCAAGATGGCCGTTGGATGCCTTCATCCAATGCCTGTTACTGAAGCCATTTCGTCCAAGATGGCCGTTGGATGCTTTCATCCAGTGCCCGTTATTGATGCCATTTCTTCCAAGGTGGCCGTTGGATGCCTTCATCCAATGCCCGTTTTTGAAGCCATTTCGTCCAAGGTGGCTATTGGATGCCTTCATCCAAGGCCATTGGATGCCTTCATCCAATGCCCGTTACTGAAGCAATTTCGTCCAAGATGGCCGTTGGATGCCTTCATCCAGTTCCCGTTATTGATGCCATTTCTTCCAAGATGGCTGTTGCATGCCTTCATCCAATGCCCGTTACTGAAGCCATTTCGTCCAAGATGGCCGTTGGATGCCTTCATCCAATGCCCGTTATTGAAGCCATTTGGTCCTTCTTCAAATTTATTGGACATCTATACTGCAAGAAATATGAAGGTTGCCACTGCTGACTTCTAAAGATGCTAGTTACTTGGCTTTTCATGCCGATCCTCTGATGCTTTCTGAGTCATTGACCCAAAGAACACAAATCAGAGGTTCTGACTTTCCTGAACTGAGTGGCCCAGAAAGTACTAAAGCCACAGCCAGGCAACTTGCATTTTTGGAAGTAGTGTCAATTATATGTTTATTTTACTTGTTTCTTTAAGACTGGGGTCACACTAACGCCATGCGGGAAATGCTGCAAATCCTGTGCGTTTCCCGCACCACATTGCAATCGCACGACATTCATGTGATCTGGTGCGGGTATCACCCCGAAATGGATCGTACAGAAATCATATCACATGGATGTGAACACCCATGCGATGCGATTCAGGTGCGGGTAATAATAAAGAAAAAAAAAGGGGGGTCCTGCGCCTTTTTGGTGCAGAAGCAAGGCATATACATGCAATATAAAATGTATGGCTCAAATCGCACCACACAGGAATGCAATGCGAATTACATGCGGTGTCCTGCACTGAATTACTGTGGACCCGATGTAAAAGATTTTACAGCCATAAAGATGACAGCAGATCCTTTTCCATCACACAGGTAGGTTTTAGTAGAGGCCTTAAAGTTTTACTAAACCCACAACAGTACAATCAGTCTGTATATGCAGGAAAGCATGCTTGTTATACTCACTGTGGAACCTAAGGGGTTAATCCTCTGCATTGTGTAAAAACACTGTTTGATCCTGACTTCTCTGATCCTCCCCTTCTTCTACTGTCCCCAATCCATCTGCTGATAATACAGAGCTCTAGGAGGCACTCTGCACATGCTCAGTTTAGTGCATATGGCTAGGATTTTTTGAATTTGGGAAGGTGCATGTGATCAGCACAGGGTCAAGTAGCAGAGTAGAATGAAAACTCCTCCTACAAGCTTTAACCTGTGCTCTGCTGGCCCTGATAGAAGTCACAAGACTGCTATATACTGCTGATGAGAAAAGGTATTTAGCAGTTTATATTTACTAAAATAATTGCATTTCCATGTTCTGTGTACTATGGGAGAGCGGATATAGTGAATGCAGGGTCCGGGGAGACCGGATATAGTGAATGCGGGGTCTGGGGAGAGCGGATATAGTGAATGCGGGGTCCGGGGAGAGCGGATATAGTGAATGCGGGGTCCGGGGAGAGCGGATATAGTGAATGCGGGGTCCGGGGAGAGCGGATATAGTGAATGCGGGGTCCGGGGAGAGCGGATATAGTGAATGCGGGGTCCGGGGAGAGCGGATATAGTGAATGCGGGGTCCGGGGAGAGCGGATATAGTGAATGCGGGGTCCGGGGAGAGCGGATATAGTGAATGCGGGGTCCGGGGAGAGCGGATATAGTGAATGCGGGGTCCGGGGAGAGCGGATATAGTGAATGCGGGGTCCGGGGAGAGCGGATATAGTGAATGCGGGGTCCGGGGAGAGCGGATATAGTGAATGCGGGGTCCGGGGAGAGCGGATATAGTGAATGCGGGGGGCCTGGAAGAGCGGATATAGTGAATGCGGGGACCGGGGAGACCGGATATAGTGAATGCGGGGACCGGGGAGACCGGATATAGTGAATGCGGGGTCCGGGGAGCGCGGATATAGTGAATGCGGGGGGCCTGGAAGAGTGGATATAGTGAATGCGGGGACCGGGGAGACCGGATATAGTGAATGCGGGGTCCGGGGAGCGCGGATATAGTGAATGCGGGGTCCGGGGAGCGCGGATATAGTGAATGCGGGGTCCGGGGAGCGCGGATATAGTGAATGCGGGGTCCGGGGAGCGCGGATATAGTGAATGCGGGGTCCGGGGAGCGCGGATATAGTGAATGCGGGGTCCGGGGAGCGCGGATATAGTGAATGCGGGGTCCGGGGAGCGCGGATATAGTGAATGCGGGGTCCGGGGAGCGCGGATATAGTGAATGCGGGGTCCGGGGAGCGCGGATATAGTGAATGCGGGGTCCGGGGAGCGCGGATATAGTGAATGCGGGGTCCGGGGAGCGCGGATATAGTGAATGCGGGGTCCGGGGAGCGCGGATATAGTGAATGCGGGGTCCGGGGAGCGCGGATATAGTGAATGCGGGGTCCGGGGAGCGCGGATATAGTGAATGCGGGGTCCGGGGAGCGCGGATATAGTGAATGCGGGGTCCGGGGAGCGCGGATATAGTGAATGCGGGGTCCGGGGAGCGCGGATATAGTGAATGCGGGGTCCGGGGAGCGCGGATATAGTGAATGCGGAGTCCGGGGAGCGCGGATATAGTGAATGCGGGGTCCGGGGAGCGCGGATATAGTGAATGCGGGGTCCGGGGAGAGCGGATATAGTGAATGCAGGGTCCGGGGAGACCAGATATAGTGAATGCAGGGTCCGGGGAGAGCGGATATAGTGAATGCGGGGGCCTGGAAGAGCGGATATAGTGAATGCGGGGGGCCTGGAAGAGTGGATATAGTGAATGCGGGGTCCGGGGAGCGCGGATATAGTGAATGCGGGGTCCGGGGAGCGCAGATATAGTGAATGCGGGGTCCGGGGAGCGCGGATATAGTGAATGCGGGGGCCTGGAAGAGCGGATATAGTGAATGCGGGGACCGGGGAGACCGGATATAGTGAATGCGGGGTCCGGGGAGACCGGATATAGTGAATGCGGGGTCCGGGGAGACCGGATATAGTGAATGCGGGGTCCGGGGAGACCGGATATAGTGAATGCGGGGTCCGGGGAGACTGGATATAGTGAGGAAAGGAACTGCCGATAAACAGCAAGTGTATTTATAGCTGATCACGTGGTAAAAGGCCACTGTGATTGGCCTTTACCATGTCATGTGATCAGCTGTGTCCAAAGGACACAGCGATCACAGACAACGCCGGGTGTGCACCGCTGGGGGCATGTTCTGGGAGGACATCATATGACACCCACCCAGAACTAGATGACCGTGCTGTAGCTGTCATTCAGCTATAGCGCGGTCGAGAAGTGGTTAGTAGGCATGGGGAAAGAAGGAAGGAAAGAAACGCGTTGCGGCAGCGCTATCACAAACAGCCTGTATCTGTATAAATGCCTTCTGAGATTAGGAGACAAAAAAAAAATTGGTGGAGGAGCCCTGGACGTGGATTTTCGTGGGTTATCAAAATGTGGACAAAGTCATTACTTGAGCACAACTGGCCTGTATTCAGCAGCTCAGAACCCAATGATGTGTCCATCTACATTCTGCCTCTTCACTCAGCCCTGATGAAGAATTGCATGCAAAGCAGGGAAACAAAAACCAGCACACCCCTTAGTGAAAGCACCTCACAATATACACACACACACACATTGGTCAGGCACACATTTAACCCTTTGATCGCCCTAGATGTTTAACTCTTTCCCAGCCAGTGTCATTAGTACACTGAAATCTATAATTTTAAGCACTGATCACTGTATTAGTATCACTGGTTCCCACAAAGGGTCAGTTAGTGCCAGAGTGCCCACCATACTAACTCAGTCCCCCTATAAGTCGCTGCCATTACTAGTATAAAAATAAATAAAAATTCCAGTATAGATGCACCATAGTTTGTAAACGTTATAAGTTTCGTACAGACCTATCAATATACACTTATTGGGATTTTTTTTCCCCCAAAATATGTAGTAGAATACATATTGGCCTAAATTTATTTGGAAATTTGATTTTTAGATTTCATTTTTTTTTTAATTGGATATGTTTTATAGCAGAAAGTAAAAAAAATTTTTTTTTTACATTTTCAGTATTTTTCCTTTATAGTGCAAAAAATAAAAAACCCAGTGGTGATCAAATACCACCAAAGGAAAATTATACTTGCATGAAACAAATGATATAAATTTATTTTGTGGAAAGCATTCCATGACAGCTTAAATGTAAGTTAAAGTAACAAAAATAGCCTGGTCACGAAGGCCTGAGGGAAGGGGGTATAAATCTCCAGGAGGTTAAGCAACACATGCAGTGCTGTCAATCCAGAAAGAAGTGGGCGGGACCAAGTGTGGCCAGGTACTAGTGCTTGTGAATCAGCGCTGACCATGCTGAAAGGCACGCCTCTGCAACATCTCCTCCCATTGTAGTGCTGGCAGGAACTGCCTGAATGAGAGTGGCAACTCTGCTGTGAGTTCAGTAGCAGTGCAGCATTGTTGCCACCCCATCACAGAAAGCGGCATTAGGTGGACTTCACTGGCACGATCGGGTATGAGTGGGACTTTGCAGGGACAGAAAACAGTCATGTACTTATTATTAGGTGCTAAAGGACATATTTTTAACAGCCATTGTTTAATCTCAGGTTCCCAAACTAGTAAAACATGCACATTGTATCTGCCTCCCTACCTTTTATCAGGGATCGCGGCGTCTCCTCGTCCGGCGCACGCGCACTGGCGACGGCTCACACCGGGACACAAGCAACAGGTCCCGGCGGGCCGCAGATGACAGGACGCCGCGCATGCGCAGTAGGAGCCGCGGGCGCGCCTCGGGCGGCCAATGACAGCCCGGGGGCGCATCCTGGACGGCCAATGACAGTGCAGGGCGCAATATTTAAAGATGCCCTGCACTGTCACTAATCGCCGCAAGGTCTATCTGTGATCCTGAGTTCCTGTACCTGCATTTTGACCGATTGACCCTGACTACGCTGCCTTCTCCTGTGCTTTGACCCGGATTGTCCTGACTACGCTGCCTTCTCCTGCATTTGACTCGGATTGCCCTGACTACTCTGCCTTCTCCACTCCTGATCCTCGGCTTGTTTGACCATTCTGCGGACTGACTTATCCTGCTGACCCTGCGTGTGACCTGACTACTCTTTGCTTGCTGATTCTGTACCTCGCTTACCTCACGGGACCGCTGCTCGTGACCCATCCTGCTAGGTCCCGCCGTCCTCCTCACATCTGGCTCTCCCGGTACCTATACATCCCCAGAGGTTGCCTCTGCCACTGGTAGGCCTGCTCGGAGGTTGTGACCTGGCCTTGGTCTGTTACAAGTCCATCCCCACCATCAGGGGCCCTGGTGAAAGCACAGACCGGGACTTAGATTCCACACTTTGGGTAGGTCTGTCCAGTGGGCTGTCAGAGGCACCACCTGGCGGATCAGAACACCTTTCCTCTACCAACACCTCAGGAGGGAACTTTTCTTTTAGGCATCCAAACAGAGTATCACCAGAAACTTGTACCCAATAGCCAAACACTCAGGAGACATTTTCTGGCTTTGTATTTTTATTCTGAGTATAATTCAACCATATGGCAAAATATGGCCTGGCCAGGAAGGAGAGTCAAGTCATTAAAAACTAAAATTGAAAAAACTCCAAGTGAATGTAACAAGAAGCCCGTGTGTGTACACACAGCAAACTGTGAGCGTATCTACAGCCAAACATTTTATTGGCTAAAGCAGGGAACGGTTAGATCCTGTCATTTATTTTTTTAACTGCTGTCTGTGAGAAAGATGAAGAAAAAAAAAAAAAATGAAAAGGAAAAAAAAATAAAAAGACGTTTTCCTATAAGCTCGGTAGGGTGGAGTTTAAATACTGCCACGCCCTGGAGGAACCTGATTTATGGACCCAAGGCCACCTTGCTAAGTGAGATCAGCCCACAGATTTTCACACACACAGAAGACTTCAGGCGCAAAAAAATCAGTCTTATGGTAAAGCAGGCAAAGGGGAGGGGGGGGGGGGGCAATAACAGAACCAAAATCCAGCAGTGCCACTGCTTAATGTAGAAGGGCCTATTTATTGCCCATAAACTGGTATTCTAATTCCCGATGAGCGCCCCCCCCCAAAGTCAAGCACTCAGTTTCTTGCTCATGTGGGGGTCGTGCTTGGAGCCCCCCATACATCCAGGGCTCTTTGTGACAGTGGGGTTCTCTTGCCACTGTTCGGGAGTCTTAGCTTGGATAGACAAAGCATGAACAGGGCCGGCCAGCTCTTCCTTCAGCAAGTCGTTGACCAGTCTGTGCCTCTGTATGAGCGGCTTCCCGCTGAACACCTCGGACACCACCACCACTTTAAAGTGGGTCTCCGACCCAGGAGGCACAGCATGCATGTGGCTCTCATTATGTACCTCTAGGTGGCAGGGTGCCAGGCTCTGGGTCAGCTTGGACCTGATGGACGTCTCCACGGGCTTCTCCATTGCGTGCTGCGATGTGGAATAATACCTGGATTTCGCCAAGACAGATGAGATGTGCCTACAAGACTGGAGGAGCCGCACCGAAATCATCAGCACTACAGATCTGTCTTCTGCTAAAAGAAAAACACAAACAATTGATTCTAAAGGAACTCTATACAAGTACAATCAACCAACAGTTCACTGAATGCAGCATTTCAGGGGCTCAGTGTCTCTAATATTCTGTACGTAAAACACGTGGCTGAGGTGCCTTCTACTTCCAGGAGTTGTGCAACTTCCCCATAACAATTTATTTCTAACAGCGGCGGTGTCATTACATCACTTCCTGCTGTGATGGGAATACCTGGGTGTCTCAGACTACAAGTTTGTCCCGCCCACACTTACTGCCTAATTTGATTGACAGGCTAGGAGTCGCCTGGTTCTCCCCAGCCAACATTACATCATACCTTGACTGAGAAGCCAGGAGATTCCTTGTGGGTCCTGCCCACCATGACATCATACCTTGGCTTACAGGCTAGTATCCCCCCCCACCAAAGACATCATACCTTGACTGAGAAGCCATGAGGTCTTCTGCTCTGTTCCACTCACCATGATATCACACTTTGACTGACAGGCCAGGAGACTCCTAGCCTGTCCCACCCACCACGACATCATACATTGACTAAGAAGCCATGAGTCTCCTGGTCTGTTCCACCCACCATGACATCATTCCTTGAACAAGAAGCTGGTAGTCTCCTTGCCTGTCTCACCCACCATAACGCCATTCCTTGACTAAGATGCCATGAGTTTCCTGGTCTGCTCCACCCAATATGACACCATTCCTTGACTAAGAAGCTATGAGTCTCCTGGTCTGCTACACCCACCATGACATCATTCTTTGAAAGAGAAGCTGGCAGTCTCCTTGCCTGTCCCATCCACCATGACATAATTCCTTGAAAGAGAAGATGGTAGTCTCCTTGCCTGTCCCACCCACCACGACATCATACCTTGACTGAGAAGCCAGGAGTCTCCTGGTCTGCTCCAACCACCATGACATCATACCTTGACTAACAGGCCAGGAGACTCCTTGCCTGTTCAACCCATCATGACAGCATACCTTGACTAAGAAGCCATGAGTCTCCTGGTCTGCTCCACTCACCCACCATATCATTCCTTGAATGAGAAGGTGGGAGACTCTGCATGTTCCACCCACACTGACACCATTCCTTGACTAAGAAACCATGAGTCTCCTGGTCTGCTCCACCCACCATGACATCATTCCTTGAATGAGAAGCTAGGAGACTCTTTGCCTGTCCAACCCACCATGACATCATACCTTGGCTAAGGAGCCATGAGTCTCCTGGTCTGCTCCACCCACCATGACATCATACCTTGACTGACGGGTCAGGAGACTCCTTGCCTGTCCAACCCACCATTCCTTGACTAAGAATCCATGAGTCTCCTTGGTCTGCTCCACCCACCATGACATCATACCTTGACTGACAGGCCAGGAGACTCCTAGCCTATCCCACCCACCATAACGTCATTCATGACGATCAAGCCATGAGTCTCCAGGTCTGCTTCACCCATCATGACATCATTCCTTGAATGAGAAGGTGGGAGACTCCTTGACATCATTCCTTGACAAAGACGCCATGAGTCTCCTGGTCTGCTCCACCCACCATGACATCATACCTTGACTGACAGACCAGGAGAATCCTAGCCTGTCCCACCCACCATGACATCACCTTGAATGAGAAGCCAGAAATCTCCTGGTTTGTCCCACCCACCATGACATCATACCATAAAATTGAAGCTCAACCCCATATTTCACCTCTCCATCTGATCCAATCAAAGAACACTTTGCATTTATTGGGAAGACGCAAAGCATTCCCTGGATGAAGCTGCAGGCGATTGGCAAACCTCCAGTTGTCACAATGCAGCACGCCAGCCACTCAGCACAGGACCCGGAAGCATATGGGGATCACCAGAGTAGCGGTGTCTATACTGGGACTTTTAGCTTCCAGGGGCATCAGTCAGGTTTGGTACATACATAGTCATACTGGTCCACCACAACAATGTATGAAAAATCCATCCCTGGAACTCCTCAACATACTGTGCTCCACTCTATACATACATATACTGCCCTCCCTTCTCTGTCCTGCAGATGGCAGTGTTGCCTACAAACGCATGCGCAGTCCACTCTCTCCTACAGGTCTATGGTCTGTGAGAGAGGAAAGAGAGCACAGCCGGGCAATGTATTCAGGACACTTTAATTGGGGGAGGGGGTAGGTAAAGGTGAACTAACCCTTTAAAGAGTTATAGCTGGCCTGCAGGTTACTAAAAACAATGTATCAATATATCAACACTGTATAATATCAACATACAATATAATATACTAGAATAGAATATCAACACTATATAATACCAAAATATAATATACTAGAATATAATAAAAAATATCAACTTTAATAACAACCTATAATATAATAAATGTCATAAAATATTAACACTATATAATATCAAATTATAATAGAATATAATATAATAAGATCAACCTATAATTAAATATAATACACTGGAATATAATATAACATCAACACTATATGATACCAAAATATAATATGGTATACTTGAATATAAAAAAATATCAACATTATTTAATAACAGCGTATATTATATTATAATAACATATCAAACACTATATAATATCAAAATATAATAGAACAGAATATACTAGAATAGAATATCAACCTATAATATAATAATACTAGAACATAATAAAAAATATTAACTTTAAATAACAACCTATAATATAATAAATGTAACAAAATATTAACACTATATAATATCAAAATATAATAGAATATAAAAATATTAAAAATCAACCTATAAATTATACACTGGAATATAATATCAACACTATATGATACCAAAATATAAAAAAATAATATATTTGAATAAAAAAAAAAATATCAACATTATTTAATAACAGCATATATTATAATAAAATATCAACACTATATATTAATCAAAATATAATAGAACAGAATATACTAGAATAGAATATCAACCTATAATTAAATATAATATACTAGAAATAAAAAAAATATTAACTTTAAAAAATAACAACCTATAATATAATAAATGTGATAAAATATTAACACTAATATAATATCAAAATATACTAGAATATAATAAGATCAACCTATAACACTGTTCAACAGGTAAAAAGTTTTGGGCATAAAATTAGCTAATCTTACATAATTTTGGGGTGCTGAAAACGAAAATGACCCTAAAAAATGTTGATTGGCTCTAGTTTCCATGATATATTCACCCATCTAATGACGTAAGCCATTCAAAATTATGATGCAACTTCAGCTGCATATTGCGCAATTGATACTGGTGACCAATAGAAAATTGCATGTATACTGAGATGATGCAATATTAGCCTTTAATTGCATCACTTCACTGCATAAAAGCTGCAGTATCTGTAGCTGATTGTAGTTCGACAGCGTCTTTACATTTCATTTTATGCTCATATAGGCTACTCAGTAAAAAAAACTTGTGTGAATAAAGCAGATAATTTCTGCTATATCTGCGGTGAAATAACTTTTATCTCACAAAAAAAATATAACAGGAATGATTAAAAAAGCCTACAACTTGTATTTTGGCTGCAAGATAGGAGACCAAACAAGAGCTGGGCACCACATATATGCTGCAATTCTTGTGGGACGGCACTGAGCAATGGTTGAATGGAAAAAAAATAATCTATGCCTTTCGCTGTGCCAATGATTTGGAGAGAGCCAACAATCATGTTAGTAATTGTTACTTTTGTATGGTGCCTCCAATTGTAAAAGGGCTAAATCAGAAGAAAAAAGTTATCTGTGCACTATCCAAATATTCCATCGGCAATACGTCCAGTTTCATGGAGAGGGGCTACCAAAAAAAAATAACCAGAATCCTTTGTGGTTGAGTCAAGTGAGGAAGAACCTGAAGCGTGTAGTCAAAAAGTTGTAAGAGATAGCCCTTTCCTCGAATACAAGAGAAAAAAAAAGAGAAGCAAAAACACAAACTGAAGACAAAACTAGTGAGAATCCTAAGTATTAAAATGATTTAAAAAAGCTTATGGCTATAATTTTTCTTGGTAATCCTATGCAATATATTATGCCATTTAGGCTTTGTTATGTAAAATAATATCACTTGCTTTATATTTGTGGAAAGTCATCTATCTATAAATAATTATTGTGCATTATGTAGTCATTACGCCTATAGTAGAAAACTTTCCGTTTACAGAAAAACTAGAGCCAAAAATGAAAAATTTCATTGTTATATTTGAAAAATTTAATGTGAAATTCATTAAGAAATGGATCCTTTTGTTTCCAAAACTGGCAAAAAATAAAAAAAATTGTTGAACAGTTAAATAAAAATACAAAAAAAAAAATAATATAATATCAACACTATATGATACCAAAATATAAATATAATATACTTGAATATAAAAAAAATAAATAAAAAAAAAATCAAAATTATTTAATAAAACAGCATATATTATATTTATAAAAAAAATATCAAACTATAGAACAGAATATACTAAAATAGAATATTCAACCTATAATATAATATACTAGAAACTAAAAAAAATATTAAAAAATTTTACAACCTATAATATAATAAATGTAAAAAAAAAATATTAACATTATATAAAAATAAATCAACATATAATAAAATATAAATACAAGATCAACCTATAATTAAATATAATATGCTGAAAAATAATATCAACACTATAGGATACCAAACTATAATATAGTATACGTGAATATAAAAAAAAAATAATTTCAACATTAAAATTAATGATAGCATATAATATATTATAATGTACAGCGCTGAGCAAACCTTACTGGCGCTATATAAATACTGTATAATAATAATAAAATATCAAACACTATATAAAAAAATATCAAAATAGAATAAAAATATTTTAACCTAGAATTTAATATATTTTTAACACTAAATGATAACAAAAAATAAAACTATAATATAAAAAAAAAAATATTATCAACATTCTTTATTAACAACACATATTATAATAAATATAATAAAATATCAAACACTATATAATATCAAAACAGAAAATAATATACTAAAATAGAACATATTATAATAAATAATAATATCCACACTATTAATAATATTTTTAACATGGATGGAAGATACGAGGTACATTCATGGCCGAAATTGTTGGCACCCTTGATATTTTTCCTGAAAATCAAGTATTTCACACAAAAAAAAAAATATTTTAACACATTTTTGCTATACACATTTTTTATTTTTTTTTTTTATGTATTGGAACAAATATAAAACAGAGGCAGAAAAGCAAATATGACATAATGTCACACAAAACCCCAAAAATGGGCTGGACAAAAGTATTGGCACCCTTAACTTAATATTTGGTTGCACACCCTTTGGAAAACATAACTGAAATCAGTCGCTTCCTATAACCATCAATAAGCTTCTGACACCTCTCACCCGGAATTTTGGACCACTCTTCCTTTGCAAACAGCTCCAGGTCTCTCTTATTGGAAGGACACCTTTTCCCAACAGCAATTTTAAGATCTCTCCACAGGTGTTCAATGGGATTTAGATCTGGGCTCATTGCTGGCCACTTCAGAACTCTCCAGCGCTTCTTTGCCATCCATTTCTGAGTGCTTTTTGACGTATGTTTGGGGTCATTGTCCTGCTGGAAGACCCAGGATCTTGGACGCAAACCCAGCTTTCTGACACTGGGCCCTACAGTGACCCAAAATCCTTTGGTAATCCTCAGATTTCATGATGCCTTGCACACAGTCAAGGCACCCAGTGCCAGAGGCAGCAAAACAACCCCAAAACATCATTGAACCTCCACCATATTTTACCGTAGGTACTGTGTTTTTTTCTTTGTAGGCCTCATTCCGTTTTTTGGTAAACAGTAGAATGATGTGCTTTACCGAAAAATTCTATCTTGGTCTCATCTGTCCACAAGACGTTTTCCCAGAAGGCTTTTGGCTTACTCAAGTACATTTTTTTTTTTGTAGTCTTGCTTTTTTATGTCTCTGTGTCAGCAGTGGGGTCCTCCTGGGTCTCCTGCCATAGCGTTTCATTTCATTTAAATGTCGACGGATAGTTCGCGCTGACACTGATGCTCCCTGAGCCTGCAGGACAGCTTGAATGTCTTTGGAACATGTTTGGGGCTGCTTATCCACCATCCGGACTATTCTGCGTTGCAATCTTTCATCAATTTTCCTCATCCGTCCACGACCAGGGAGATTAGCTACAGTGCCATGGGTTGCAAACTTCTTGATAATGTTGCGCACTGTGGACAAAGGCAAATCTAGTTCTCTGGAGATGGACTTGTAACCTTTGAGATTGTTGATATTTTGCCACAATTTTGGTTCTCAGGTCCTCAGACAGTTCTCGTCTCCTCTTTCTGTTGTCCATGCTTAGTGTGGCACAGACAGACACACAATGCAAAGGTTAAGTGAACGTCTCTCCTTTTTATCTGCTTTCAGGTGTGATTTCTATATTGCCCACACCTGTTACTTGCCCCAGGTGAGTTTACAGGAGCATCACATGCTTGTAACATTCTTATTTATCCGCAGTTGTGAAAGGGTGCCAATACTTTTGTCCAGCCCATTTTTTGGAGGTTTGTGTGACATTATGTCGAATTTGCTTTCTTTCCTCCCTTTTTTTGTTTTGTCCCAATACACACAAAGGGAATAAACATGTGTATAGCAAAAACATGTGTTAATGCAATACGTTTCGTGAGAAATACATGATTTCCTGGAGAAAATATCAAGGGTGCCAACAATTTCGGCCATGACTGTATATGGTTTTCCTTTCGATGAACTTTGATATACTGTAGATTTTATATTGCTGATATATGAATGTTAATATTATTTTACGATATTACATAGTGTGGATATTATTATTTATTATATTTTTTCTATCATAGTATATTATATTTAGTATATTCTATTTTGATATTATATAGTTTTTATATTTTTATTATATTTATTATATGTTTTGTTATTAAATAATGTTGATCATATTTTTTTATTATTTTATATTTTTTATAATTTAAGTGTTGGCTGATTTTCTATTTTTTATTATATAGTGTTGATATTTTATTATAATATATTATTTTGCTGTTATTAATGTTATGGATGGAAGATACGAGGTATATGGTTCTTCTTTCGGTGAACTTTGATATACTGTTTTTTTATTTTATATTGCTGATATATGAATGTTAATATTATAACATCAGGTCGTCTTTTTTTTTGTGCCCCTCCCCCAAATCAAAATGTATCCCCGTTGATCCTGCCAGCCAAGTGCAGATGGGCAAGCTTCCTGTGATGGGGTGACAACGCTATCTGACTATTCTGGAAATGTAGGGAGTGTTGTCACCCTCACCTTGGCTGTGCCCTTAAAGCTGAATGCCATGAAGAACATAATCCTGCCCTTGCAGTGGGGGCGTGGTTAGGGTTCCAGGATCATTTTTATTTATTTTGCCCCCCCCCCCCCTTCTAAAGCCAGGATACCCCTTAAAGGGTACATGTCATAAAGGCCGCTCCCTGCTGAAAATGCTAGCTGACTGGCTGCCGAGTTCATGCAATGGCCTCCATGCTTCCTGAGTTGCTGACCAGAAGATGCCAGCAGGTAAGGACTTCACTGGCCGCATGCTTGGTCCTAGAAGGGTTACCATGGCAGCCAGGCATTTTCAGTGTCTCTGTAAGGATGGCTGACCCCACTTGAAAATACTAGACGCCTGGCTGCCAAGCTCATGCCTCCATGCTTCCTGAGTAGCTGGTAAGGACTTCACTGGCTGCATGCTTGTTTTTCCTGGAAGAGTCACAATGGCAGCCAGGCACTTGGCATTTGCAGGAAGAGGTGTCTGTCAGGAAAGGTAACCCCTCCTGGAGAAAGGTGAACTCGGCAAGATGTGGGATTGGGGACAGGTGACACCAACTGAACAAGACACAGCAGCCTGCCCACTCACCCCACCATGGGGGAGTACAACTACAGCCCCCCCCCAATACCGAACACTTACCGCACACTGCTGCCCCCACTGACCGCCGGGAGGAGCGCAATGCACCCTGGGAGCTGTAGTCTCCGTGAACTGCACCCTGGGAGGCGAGGTCTAAGCGCACTGCACCCTGGGAGCCTGGGAGGTCTATTCCTCTGCGCACTGCATGCTGGGAGATGTAGTCTCTGCAGCGCCGCTCCTTGTAGGCAAGGCTACCACAGAAAACTAATACTCCCAGCATGCAATGGGTAAGCGTGCCCCGGAAGGGGGAGGGGTACTAATTTTTCTAACGAGGACTTATTTTACATCTATTTCCAGAGTGTATGAATGATTCTTCTATCGGAGTGTCATCAGCCTGTGATATGCAGAAAACTAAAGGGAACCGCCGGTCACCTCACTTACCTGATATACGCCATTCCACATTTGGCCACTAGGTGGCGGCCTTGTCACATCTATATCTCTATATAGCTATATATGTATCTATTCTATCTATACCTGTACTTCTATATACCTGTACTTCTATATATATCTATATACCTTTACTTCTATATATCTATATACCTTACTTCTATATATCTATATACCTGTACTTTTATATATATCTATATACCTGTACTTCTATATATCTATACCTGTACTTCTATATATTTATATACCTGTACTTCCTGTATTCTATATCTATATACCTGTACTTCTATATACTGTACTTCTATATATTTTATACCTGTACTTCTATATATTTCTATATACCTGTACTTCTATATATATTTATATACCTGTACTTCTATATATATTATATATACCTGTACTTCTATATATTTTTATATACCTGTACTTCTATATATTTTTATATACCTGTACTTTTTATTTATTTATATATCTATATTACCTTTACTTCTATATATCTATTATACTTCTATTTATTTATTTTTATATATCTATATACCTGTACTTCTATATATATCTATATACCTGTACTTCTATATTATATCTATATTACTTTATATATCTATATACCTGTACTTCTTATATATATATATATATCTATTACCCGTACTTCTATATATATCTATATACCTGTACTTTTATATATTTATATACCTGTACTTCTATATATCTTTATACCTGTACTTCTATATATATTATATACCTTTACTTCTATATATATTTTTATATACCTGTACTTCTATATATATTTATATACCTGTACTTTATATATATCTATATACCTGTACTTCTATATATTTTCTATATATTTTCTATATATTTATATATACTTCTATATATATCTATATACCTGTACTTCTATATATATATTACCTGTACTTTATTATTTATATCTATATACCTGTACTTTTTTTATATTTATACCTTTTACTTCTATATTATATTATTTTACTTTTTATATCTATATACCTTTTCTATATATATCTATATACCTGTACTTCTATATATATATATACCTGTTTCTATTATCTATATACCTGTACTTTTATATATTCTATTACCTGTACTTCTATTATTCTATATATGTTATCTATATTCTATATACCTGTACTTCTATATATTTATATACCTTACTTTTTTTATCTATATACCTGTACTTCTATATATATCTATATACCTGTACTTCTATATATATTTTATTATATATACTTTTTATTTATATACCTGTATTCTATTACTCTATATATTACTTCTATATATTTATATACCTTTTATTTTTTATATCTATATACCTGTACTTCTATATATTCTATATTTTTTTATATATTTTTTCTATATATATCTATATGTACTTCTTTTTTTATATACTTTATTTTTATTTTTTTATTTGTACTTCTATATTTTTATTTGTACTTCTATATATCTATATACCTGTACTTCTATATATCTATATACCTTTTTATATTCTATATTTATTCTATCTATATACCTGTACTTTTATATTATCTATATACCTTTACTTCTATATATTTATATTGTACTTCTATTATATATCTATATACCTGTATTTTATATATCTATATACCTGTACTTTTATTATATCTATATACCTTACTTTATATATTATATACCTTTTCTTATTTTCTATATACCTGTACTTTATATATATCTATATACCTGTACTTTATATATATTATACCTTTATTCTATTTTATTTTTTATTTTATCTATATACCTTTTTTTATATATCTATATACCTTATTTTTATTTTTCTATATTTTACTTCTATATATTTATATACCTTACTTTATATATATCTATATATTTACTTCTATTTATATATATACCTTTACTTCTATATATATTTTATATACCTGTACTTCTATATATCTATATACCTGTACTTCTATATATTTATTATATATATGTTTTTTTTCTATATATCTTTATATATTTGTACTTCTTTATATTATATTTTTTTTTTTTTTTTTTTTTTTTTTTTTTTTTTTTATATTTTTTTTTTTTTATATACCTTTACTTTTTTATATATTTTTTTTTCTTTTTTTCTATTTTACCTTACTTCTATATATATCTTTATACCTTACTTTTTATATCTATATACCTGTACTTTTTATATTTATTTTACTTCTATATTTTTTTTTTATACCTTACTTTTATATATTTATATTTACTTTTATATTTTTTCTTTATATCTATATACCTTACTTCTTTATATTATTTTACCTTACTTCTATATTTTTTATATTTATTTTATATATCTTTATTACTTCTATTTTATATTATTTTTACTTTATTTTTTTTTATATACCCATACTTCTTATTTTATTTATATACCTTACTTCTATATATCTTATACCTTTTACTTTTTTATATTATTACCTTTACTTTTTTTATTTTTTACCTTTTCTTATATATCTATATACCTGTACTTCTATATATTTATATACCCGTACTTCTATATTTTTATTTATATACCCGTTTTTTTATTTTTTATTATTTACCTGTACTTTATTATATCTATTTACCTTTTTTATTTCTATATTTTTTTTTACTTTTTTTTTACTTTTATTATTTTTTATATACCTTACTTTTTTATTTTTTTTATACCTTACTTCTTTTTTTTTTTATTTATATTTTACTTATTATATTTTATAATTTACTTTATTTTATATCTTTTTATACCTTTACTTTTATATTTTATATATACCTTACTTTATATATATATATATACCTGTACTTCTATTATATATATTATATACCTGTACTTCTATATTTATATACCTGTTTTTTTTATATTTTTTTTATTTTTATATTTTACTTTTATCTATATTTATATCTATATTTTTTTTTGTACTTTTATATATCTATATACCTGTACTTTATATTTTTATTTATATTTTTTACTTCTATATATTTTCTATATACAGTTTTTTTTTTTTTTTTTATGTGAACCCCTTGGGATTACGTGGAGTTTTTTTTGAATTATTTTTTTTTTTTAATTTTTTCTGAACATCATCTAAGTTTTTTTTTAGAAGAACACAGTCTGCTTTTTTTTTAATTTTTTACACAAACATTATTTTTTTTTTTTTTTTGCCATTTTTTTTTTTTTTAACATTTTTTTTTTTTTTTTTTTTTTTTTTTTTATTTGAGGCCCTTTTTTAATGACTTCTCCCAGAGCTAATTGGAGCCAGGAGTGAGCCAACCTTTTTTCCAATTTGATGATATTTTTGTTTTTGACAGCTGTTTTTTTTTTTTTTTTTTTTTTTTTTTTTGGTTTCAAGAAGCACTGTCTGATGTTTTTTTTTCGCAGAAAAGAGCTCTCAGAAGACCTACAATTTTTTTTTTGACTTTTGAAGCTGGAAATGGTTACAAAAGTATCTCCAAAAGCCTTGATGTTCATGTGTTTTTTTTTTTTTTTTTTTTGTCTACAAATGGAGAAAGTTTTTTTTTTTACTCTCCCTTTTTTGGTTTTTTCTTTTAAAAATGACTGCAAGAGCACAGCGCAGAATTTTGCATTTTTTTAAAGAAGAATTTTTTTTGTCAGCTAAAGACCTACAGAAATCTCTGGCACAAGCTAACATTTTTGGTGACACATCTACAATAAGGAAAACATTAAACAAGAATGGAGTACATGGGAGGACACCACGGAGGAAGCCATTTTTTTGTCCAAAAAGAATTTTTTTTTTATTTTTTTTAAGTTTGCATAAGAGTACCTGGATGTTCCACAGCACTACTTTTTTTATTTTTTTTTTTTTTTTTTTTTTTTGAGTTGTTTTTTTTTTTTTTTTTTTTATGTGTGGAGAAAAAAAGGCACAGCACACCAACATCAAAACCTTTCCCAACTTAAAACATGGTTTTTTTTTTTTCATAGTTTGGAGCTGCTTTTTTGCCTCAGGGCCTGGACGGATTGTTTCATTGATGGGAAAATTTTTTTTTTTTTTTTTTATCAAGACATTTTTTTTTTTTACGACCATCTGTCCGCCAACTGAAGCTCCGCAGAGGATGGGTGATTTTTTTTTTTTTTTTGACCCAAAGCATACAAGTAATTCAACAAAACAATGGCTGCAACAGCACAGAATACACCTTCTGGAGTGGCCCAGTCAGAGTCCTTTTTTTTCAACCCGATTGAAATTTTGTGGCATTTTTTTAAGAGAGCGATTCACACCAGACATCCCAAGAATATTTTTTTTTTTTTTTTTTTTTTTTTTTTTTTTGGTCCAAAATGACTCCAGATTTTTGTGCAGGTCTGATCTGCAACTACAGGAAACATTTGGTTTTTTTTTTTTATTTTTTTTTTTTTTTTTTTTCAACCTTTTATTTTAAGTCCAAAGGTTCACATACTTTTTTTTCCCTTTTTGTTAATGTTTACATGTTTTTTGCAATTAAACCATTTTTTTTTTTCTAATTTTTTGTTTTATTATGTTCAGCAGACTGTTTTTTTATTTTTTTGACTTAGATGACGTTCAGAGCACATTTTATGCCCAATTCATGCAAAACTTCATGTAATCCTTTTTTTTTTTTTTTTCTTTGTACCTTTACTTTTTTTATATCTATTACCTTTACTTTCTTTTTTATATCTATTTTTTTTTTTTACTTATATATATTTTTTTTTTATATACCTTACTT